CAGTTGTGCTAAGCAAAACATTGCAGAAGAAGCTTTGGTCTGGTAGTGAAAAGGGTGATCTGTGCTAATGAAAATTGCGGCATGGTGATGGATTACAAAATTGTTTCGAAGAAGGTGGTGCTAGTTTTGCTTCTTAGTGCTTTTGAATAAATCTCGTTGAAAATATCGACCGAAGCTGTCACCACATTGTTCCTTATTAAATGGTTCAAATGTTACATGGCGCTGACCTATTCCTGCAATTCTTCACGTCTTTTTTTCAAGCGCCGCGTCTTTTTTTACTCAGCAACTGATCTTGAAGCTAATTCAGTAGTCTGTTTAGCGATGCGTCAATCGAGTCCATCTGTTATCCTAAATCCTAAATTTCGATTTTCTTTTGATTTCTGAATTTAGGCTAGGATTGTAATTACCTTCAGCACATAATATTTCGAGTATTAAATATCAGAGGATAATGATAAATAAAGCGGATTTTCTAGGATTCCAGAGCAGACATCCCGTGCAGCATCTAATTCCTTCTTTCTCATGGTTCATGACGGACTTTTGGATGACGAGTCTGCGTCTTTAGATACGCAAGACACAACGGAAGCTAATGAGATGATTTCTGAGTCCAAAAGCCCACTAGAAGTCGAGTTATCGTTCAATTCATCTGCCTCATCGCCTCGAAAACTTGCTTCTTCAGGTGTAAATGGCCGTTCAAAGGCTGTGTCAGCTGCTGCAGCTCCCATTACATTTTCAATCAATATCCAAGAAACAGCTGATTCAAATGAGGTCCTGCACGGCTTCTGGAACGTCCAAAGACGTACCCAGTCGGACGGGAACTTAGGAAGACACAATTTGCTTTCAAGCTCTTCTATTGCAGACAATAATGCTATTCCAGTGACCTTTCGGGCCAGTCCTGCACACTCAGAGTCTTCTCTGATGATACATAATGAAAAGGAGGGCTTGGAGCCGCTTCCACCGTCTGTTTCAGTGAGAGCACCCATTAGTTCTAAACCTCAAACGTTTACGGCTATGAGGGAAAGTTTGCTGGCCGGAATGGCCAACTTGGCAGGTATAAAATCACCGAGAAGAACACTGCAAAAGGTTCACGTGGTCTACCCTACGTCAGGGCCACTGTATGTGGATTTATACTCTCGAGATGATGGTACAGGAGCTTTTGTTAAGGGATTTAGGAGGAAACTTGATGGATCGATGGCAGATGCCGAAGCTTCGGGTCGAGTATTTCCTGGTGATGAGCTAGTGGCGATTAAAGATGTCGATGTGACCAAGATAATGTTTAATGAGATCATCGCGCTTGCACAGGAGGCCACGTATCCATTGAACTTGACATTTTGTTGCCATCAGACCAAGAGGGAGGAATATGAAAAGCAAAAGAAGACGATGGACGGAAAATGTTCTAGTAGATCGTTGACACCCGTGCTACCACTAATGTCGCCTTCTAATAGTGCAGGGTGGGGTGCTAAACTGAGCCAGATGACGAGGTCGGGGTCGTTCGATCAGAAAACAAGCGGGACAAATCTTGGTAATGGCGTCCCCATGTCGCCTTTGTTGCATTCAACAGCAACAGAGTCGAATGGAGGAAAGTTTGGCATTTCGTTGGGAAAGGTGGGTACTGACGGTGTGAAAGTGAGTTTGTTTCGCATGATGGGCAACAAAGCATCACGGTCCGAAAAAGACAAAAACTTGGTGAAAAGTTTGATGGATGACCTTGCGTTAAAACCACACAATAGATCGGCTGGAGGGCGCCATCGTAAAAGTCCAGCAAACACAAATTCTGATGTGATACATTCGACGCCAATTGTGGCCGTGACAACTGGAGGCCGATTTATTGGTGTACTAGATGAGGATGCGAACGAGTTTGCCCTCACATGGTTTCGTAAGACGCCACCTGAGATGGATATTAGACAGATCAAAGGCGTAACACGATGTCCATATTTTCCTTCGGTAGACGACGTGGGCGCAGTTTTGTCACTGCAATGCAAGTCACTGCGCTTTCCACAACTACAACGTGTGGTAGAAATGCCTCGACCGTTAGTGCTGGATCCGGACGTGGGAAATACGGTGAATGTGTTTCTAGAGGCTGGCGCGGGCTCGTTTTCAGCAACTTTGGCGAGTAACGAGCACGATAGCTTTCAGATCAAAATATCGGCGAAATCAGTAACTATGATCAAAATATCGGAGGAAGATGGAGGGGTCGTGGTGGAGGCCGCCTACGGCCCATTTCTTCAAGTTTTACTTGATCCTGGTAACCAGCTTCGATTCACGCTCAAGGTGCAAGAGTTTGGTGGCTTCTTGGGCAACCGTGAAGGAGATAAATGCGATTTGAAAAAGCGACAGGCGCAGTTCGAAACTATGTCCTGTTTCTTCTTAGTGGCTCAAAACAGGCAGAATCGTGACATTTTAACGCTGCTGATTCGTAAGTTCCGAGCTCGAGTGATCACACCTGAGCAGGAAGAAGTAGCCCAAGTTGATGAGAGGAATCTGTTCATGGACCCTGCAAATGTCGCTGCAGTAGCACGACCAGCACCGCTGATTGTATCTCAATTCGTTGAATCAAACTCTGGTGCAGTATCTCCCGCTAGTAATTCTGTTGCGACTGGAGAGACAGCAAGCAGCGCGGGATCACCGACAACGGTGACAACTCCATCATCAGGGATGGCTTCTTCACCTATGACTAGGAATACTTGTGCTGTGCGTTTACAAAGCGAGGGGTCATTAAGCTCCATGTCAAGTGCGCGGCTCAGCGATCTGGTTGGTTTAGAACCAGATGATTCAGATCAGCAACTCACAAGAGAGCGAGAGTCGGACTTAGCTGCATCTGCAGCAACGCCATCTCGTGTAGCCATGGTGTCAAGAAAAAATGAGTTTAGAGTGAGTACTAATGACATTGTTGTCGACGATCCATTCGTGGAAGGTCGACTTGCTGCCCAAGACAAGGAAATTGTTATGCTTCGAGAGAAACTTGCTGTGGTGTCAGTTCGCCTAAAAGCAGCTATGCAAGAAAGCTTACAGATAACTGCGTCCTTGGAGGTGAAGGACAACCGCATTGAGTTTCAACAAATGAAGATTCGACAGCTTGAAAAGCTAGCAGGACAATGTGATTTGCAAGCCCTCGAAATACAAAATTTGCGCACTAAACTGGAGGATAGTGAACGGCGCCATGCATTGTGCAGAGAGGAACTGCAGCAGATTTCTGGACTAGCAGCTAAGCAAGCATTAGAGATACGAGATCGAGGTGTCCAAACAGAAGACCAGTTTTTAGATGGAGAAGGGTTGGCATTTGTAACTTCAGGGTCAGGCTGGAAACGTGACGCCTGGTCTGGCACTGTTGCAACAGTGAGTGCAAGTGATCTGCAACAACAAGTGGAGGATCAACAGGTGCAAATTGCACAGTTTCAGGACGAGCACGTCAACTTGGTGGCAGAACGTAACATGTTTCGCGCAAAATCGATGGAGTTATCACGAGAGCTCCGCAGACTTGTTCGAGCCAACAACAATCGATCACTAGACGATCTCAAGACACAACTTGCGGAGCGGACTAGTCTCCAGGTTGAAATTGCCTCTGTCAAAGCTGACGCAAAGAAAAAAGAAGAGGAATTGGTAGAGCTTAAATGTCTACTCGATGGCACTGGCGACAAAGACAAGGGTGCAAAGCGTCTTGCAACTCAGAATATGAAGCTGCAGCACACTGTGCATCAGCTGAAAGATTCTCTCAGTGAGGCTAGAGATCAAGTCGATGCCGTCAAAAAAATTAATGGCGCTCTGGCATCACGTCTCCATTGTCTACAACCAGACACACGTGGTAGTATTGTCGAACCTGCATCGACGTCCGCTTCGACTAGCTTTCTTCCTTTGTCTTCAGACGATGAAGACGACGACGATGAGGAAGAAGATGAAGAGCTTAAGGATGGCATTGCTGAATTTCGAAGATCACTTGTAGGCAAGTGATGGAGCCCTCGATCATAAGATGGAAGATTATACACACGGAGATGATACGTGAGCCAACCACACTTCCAAAGAGCGGATACTTATCCATGGCACTTACATGTACGACTCGGTCAACGTGCTACGTACTTGTGATTATACGACGACCTACCAGGAAAGTGCTGAAAGGACATGGAACTAGCTGTCATATATATGATTGAATTGAGCAGCACATTGACGTCCTCATCACTTTCGTGATGACTTGTAGCAATGAATTTGTTGCAATGGTATCTCCTTCACATGTGACTCTGTTCAAGTGTGTACGATATGATGGCAGCATATCGTTTGTTTGAATAGACTTGATTATGACTGCATGGCTTTATAAAAAGTGACTATTATTCCATCACATTCGATAATGCCTGCACAAGACACGCTATCTCTTCCTGACGAATTGACACTATTACTCAGTCTTTCGCTTGCTCTTAGTCCTCCTTTTGTACTGTGCCTTGATTGCTTTGTCTCTTCTCGCTTCTTCCGTAGCATTCATTCCCGCTTTTAACAACGTCAAACGCACCACAAAACATGCTCATTTGGAGCATTTTCCTGGTATTTTGTGCTCTGTATGACGCTACAGCGACTTTTAAGCAGAGGATCGATGCATATGAGCTGCATCTGTATCATAGACAGACACGTACGCAGCGACGGTCACGAATGGGACCTACAAGAGCCTCCGATAAGACGCGTGCAGAGGCTTTGGCTAATACTGCAAAAGTTGTGGAGAAGGTCAATGCAGAGTATGAAGCAGGCACGAAAAGCTACTTTTTGGGCTACAATGAGCTGAGTGACTTGACGGACGAGCAGTATCAAGCTTTTCTGGGCTCGAGACCGGACAAGAAATCATTTAGAAGGAAGCAGGAGAGGAAGAAGAAGAACCAGTTGATAAAAGGGAAGAGAGGAGAAGAGGTGACTAGTAGCTTTGATCTGGAGACTGGATCACGTGAAAAGAAGGATGAGCATACGAGTCGTGAAGTTCCAATGGAATGGGACTGGACGACGAAGGATGGAGGGAAATATATGACACCCATCAAGAATCAAGGGACATGTGGAAGTTGCTGGGCATTTGCGGGTGTATCCGTGCTGGAATCAAGGTTTGCTATTGAACATCAGGTACAGGCATCGGTACTGAGTGTAGAGCAAGTATTGAGCTGCTCGGCACCACTGGATCATATTCAAAGCAAATTTGACGACAACATGATTAGCTCGTCGAAAGGATGCGCAGGTGGAATGCCATTCCTCACGTACGCATATCTGAACTTTGTGAAACCTCACGGAATCTCGTGCGAGAATACGTATCCGTACGTGATGGCAACGAACGAGACTGAAACACAGTGTCATCCGTTGAATACGACTGACGTAGCTGTGGCCTGGAAAAAGAATGTGTCGGATTACAAGGTCGTTGCTGTGAATGAGCAGGCACTACTTCGAGCGGTGACACTCGGACCTGTCACGGCCAACATGGACGCCACAGGAGACGGGTTTCGTCATTATGCAGGTGGGATTTACGACGCTCAAGACTGTCGTAGCGATGGAGATGAAGTCAACCACGCTGTAGTGGTTGTGGGCTTTGGACAGAGTGACACTGGTGAACAGTTTTGGATAATCCGTAATACGTGGGGTACGATGTGGGGCGAGGACGGCTACATGCGCATAGCTCGCGGTAGTAACGTCAGTGAATACGGGCCGTGCAATCTCTACCTTTACGCAGACTATCCAGTAAACCTTACGGTTGGTTTCAATTCAACCAGTGGTGAACCTGCATGCGTTGTGTCGAAACTCATTTCCGAACCTCTGCAGCTCATGAAGTTGATTGGCCTTTCAGGTAACCAGATTGCATTGCTAGTGCTATCCACCCTTCTAAGCGTGATTGCTGGCATGGCGTTATATCATGGAGCGGAATTGATGCAAAATCGCAAGGAAGCCGCTGGAAACTTGAGCTACCAAGACTATTATGCGCGCTGGGTATTGCCCTCCCGTGACCAGATTGCCGCAGCACTTACTCGACGCAACATTAGACGCACTCAACGTACGACTACATAGACAACAGCATTTAGTTTTATGCCTTGCTTACATTAAAATATATAATCAATCGCCAACACAAAGACCCCTACGTGTGAATGGTCCATTAAAGTGACACGTCTGAATTCGAGTCCTCCATAGATTGGAAACCGTACGGTGAGCGCTGGAAATGATCCTCCCCGACGTCGTCATTTGCCATTAGTGTCAGATCCGAAAGGCTGTCCGCCAAATCTCCATTCGACGGAATGTAGTCTTCCTGTATCATCGGTCCAAGAGACGTAGTACCTGCCTCATCCTGTTCCTGGAAAGCGCTGTTCGTCGTGGCTTCGGAAACTGGGCTCGTCGAGGTTGACGGCGATCCACCATTCTTGACTTGGATCATCGTAAGTTTCGGGATGACCTTTTGCCACTCACTTTCCACTTTTTTGCTGTACTCAATCTGCATTTGAATGTAATCCAGAATAATGTGCTTGAAATCTGCCAGCTTTTCACGCTTGAAACGTTCGACCTCACGCAGCACACGCTCCGTGACAATATCGTCCTCAAGTTTTGCATCTTCCATATTCTGTTGTGCTGTGCGTACTTCACTCTCTGCCAACGCAACCTTGTCTTCGGTACAACGTCCTCGAGACTGCTTCCGTATTTTTTCCAACACAGCTTCCTTTGTTTCAACATCAGCAACCGCGGCGCCATAAGCACATCTCACTTCGTTCCGTTTTTGTAATGCAGCCTTCACTGCCCCAACGAGCCGAATATAGTCAAAAATTGGTTCCTCAAAGTGCAGTGCCTCCCGCTCAGCATGTTCAGCTGCTAAAATGGAGAGCTGGTCCGCGCACTGACCAATATGACTCAATCCTTCCTGCAACGACACGTTTTCTTCCGATTTGCCTAATAACGTAAATGAGACCCCAAACTCAAAAAGTCCATCAGCAATTTCTCTAGCTCGTTTCGTCAAGCCATGAGCATGTTTGTGCAATCCTGTCATAATAGGTTCTAATCCTTCAATGTATGCCATCATTTCATCCACTTCAATATCTGCTGGTGTCTTGGTTAAATTTGTACTAGAAGCAAGTAAAGTCGATGAAATCGTGTTTACGGTATCATCCAGCCATTGAAAAAGAACACCCCGTTGTGCAGTAGGTGCTGCATGACGCGGATCTTTTCGAAATAGTTGCAATTGATCTTCACTTGCTTCTAAAAACGTCGTCAAATGTTCACAATGTTGCAATTCTGGATGAACACAACACCGTTGAAGAAATAATTGCAACGCTCGACGTCGATTTTCAATAAATTCCGGTGAAAATCTTCCAACCAGTAATTTTTCCGGTAAAGGAGGTACCACAATTCCCGGATATTTCGCCGTCAAATGTCCATGAATCCAGATAAAATCACTGTACCGTCTCACGACGGAAAACGAACTTTTTGCAAATTGTACCCGTGTCGTGATTGTACTGATTTTGTACGAAATGTACGCATTCATTCCTTCCCCTTGTTTTACCGGTTCATTTACCGTCACTTGGATAGTATTCGATTCGAGAGGTTCACGACTAGAAGACGGTATACCACGTGAATAGTCACTGTTAACTGAAGCTACGAGATTCTCAGATTCAGCTTCATGCGGCATCGAAGAAGGTAAAGCAATGGACTCTTCCAGTATTCGATTTGTGTAATCCACATTCACCCATTTCCCGTGACGTCCCTCCATATGTCGTAGTAGCCGAATGTGTTTGTGTAGTTTTTTTATTGTTTTTTAGTATAAAATTTGAGTTTTTTTCTTAGAATTGTAGAGTCCCATTGACTCTAAAACCGGTAGCAAGTACCGGTTCCATCGACGTCGTTTCGTTCTTAAACCATCACGTTTTGTCATTTCGTTTTTCTTTTCTTGATAACCGTTACGACGTTCCCACAAAAAACAAAAACAAGACGTCCTTTTATTTTCTTTTGCACTTTCGTTTTTATTCCATACGTTAAGAAAAAAAACAGATTCTTTTTTTTCTCTATACTTTTGTATCAAAATGGCTTCATCGCTTCGGAATAATGACGTCGAGTGTTTTCCTGCATCATGTCCTTCTTCTTCTTCTTCTTCTTCTTCTTCTTCTTCTTCCTCTTCCTCTTCTTCTTCTTCAGTCTCGCAACAATCTCCATCTAAAATAAATACTAAATTTTACAATCCAATTGTCATGTCAATTATACGAGAAGATTGGATTCAACAGCAATTACAATCACGACAAGTGGAATACATGGAATTTCGTCCAATTTCGATCGTAACGGGCACGTGGAATGTCAATGGAAAAAAACCTTTGACACTGATGGAAGCCTCGAGACTTTTGTATTGGTTAAAAGCTCAAAATTTGGATCTTCACAAACCTCCGGATCTTGTCGCTTTAGGTTTTCAAGAAATTGTTGATCTTACTGCAGTAAATGTGGTAGTGAATAGTACACTAACGGTACAACGTAGTGTCGCGTGGGAAGAAGCTGTTCTTGAAGCTTTGAATCAACATTTTGGATCAGATGCTCAAGCTTCGGGAGAAATTCCAGTACACTATCGAGTTGTATTGAAAAAACATCTTGTGGGAATTTTACTGCTTGTGTTTGTGAAAATGGACCATTGGGAGCATGTTAAGGAGATTAAAGGAGCTACAGCTGGTGTTGGGATAATGGGAGTCATGGGGAATAAAGGAGGAGCAGCAGTGAGACTCAAGTTTTATAGTAGCACTTTGTGCTTTGTGTGTGCACACTTGGCTGCACACCGAGATAATGTGATTGGGAGGAATGCTGATTACCTGAATATTCTCAGCAAAGTACACTTTGGAGAGAATGCAGACAATGAAGCGACTACTTCCGTGCAAGACATGAGGTGCGTTCGTGATATGTGATATGCGGAATATACACGTGTAATTGAGAGAGTTTTACATTGCAGGTTCTGGACTGGTGCGCCGTCGATACTTAACCATGATTTCGTCTTCTGGATTGGTGACCTGAACTATCGCATCCAGGATACTTTGACGACAGAGGAGATCTTTTGTCTGGCAGAAAGTGAAAGTCTGCTGCATGAATTGGTGCCGCACGACCAACTTACGATTGAGCGGCAGCGAGGAATGGTCTTGAAGGGATTTGAAGAAGGCGCTCTTTCGTTTCCTCCGACGTACAAATTTCAGGCTGGAACGTCTGTATATGAAAAACGGCCCGAGAAAAAGCTTCGTGCTCCAGCATGGTGCGATCGTATTCTGTGGAAAGCAAAGAATCCATCGGACGTGAAGCTTTGCAGTTACAATTCGGTGCCTGCATTGGAAATGTCCGATCACAAGCCCGTCCACGCATTCTTTGACGTACAGGTGAAATATCAAGTAGAGTCGAAGAAAAATGAGGTGATCCGCGAAATCATGATGCAGCTAGATAAATGGGAAAACGACAACATGCCTAAGGTCCGACTGCTTCAAGGGGATGGTAGTACTACAAGCAGCGGTGTGTTTTCGTTTTCTCAGCTAAAATTTGGTGTCGAACAAAGCAGGAAAATGATCATTGAGAACACTGGGCTAGTGGTGACGCATTTTCGTTTCATTCCAAAGCTAGAGGATGTGGCTGTATGCAAGGCTTGGTTGAGTGTTACACCACTGTTTGGTATGATTCCGCCAAGAGAAAAGATGGAGATTCGCATAACCGCTCTTGTGGATGAAACTGTTGCTCATTGCCTTAGTAGTGGCGAGGAAACTCTGGACGACACGATGATCTTGCGTGTTGAAAACGGACGTGACTATTTTTTAGTGGTGTCTGGACAATACGCAAACTCATGTTTCGGAAGTTCGCTTGAGCAGCTGGTGGCGAGTTTAGAGCCAATCCGGCAAACCAAACTCACAGCTTCGTGCTCTCCTGCATCGTCAGTGTTTAGCGTTTGGGTTGGTGGAGCAGCAGGTGTTGACGCCGACACACTGATTGCTCCTCAGACGTCTAATGCGCCACCGATTTCAACGCCAGCGAGTGGTTCACAGAAGGTGCCTAAGGAGCTTTGGCGAATGGTGAACGACATATATGGGAACTTCATGCAAGACAAGAACCTGTTTGTTGAGGCGGGCAATAAGGTAGAGATTGTGCAATTGCGAGAAGCTTTGGACACAGGAGCCCCGTTTCCCACCCACAGTGGATATTCCACGGCAGAATTACTTGTGCGTTGGCTCCAAGCGTTGCCGCAAAGTGTGGTGTTAGACGAAGCTTTAGCACTTGCAGTAGCGAGCACCAATGGCAATATGGGACAGGGTTGTCAAGTATTGCTGGACGCTTTGCCGCCAGTGCGCTACAACGTTGTGGTGTATTTGGTGTCATTCTTACGAGAAGTACTCAAGCACAGCGCCACAAACAAGCTAACGCCGGAAAAGCTGGCGTTTGTTTTTGGTCGGTGTCTCGTGTCAGCGTGCAGATATAGCGTGAACAAGGACCTGACCTACTCCAGCGCAGGTCATGTTCTGGCCTTTGACGAGCATCAGCAGCCAGCCTCAAATTCATCGACAGCTTCGACAGTATCGAGCGTAGGTTCGACCCAACAAGTTCCCGAAGAACGACTTCGACGGAACGCATACGACCTCGAGGTCGCGCAAGCAAATATGGCCCAGCGAGCCGAGAAGATGGAAAAATTTCTCCTTTACTTCCTGTCATCGCCATGACAAGGAGATGTACGCAAATTCCTAGCATGTGCTCTTACTAAATGACGCAAGTACGATCCTGTAGACTGTAAACTGCTAGAGCAGCTTCGACGTAGCGAAGTTGTATCAATACACCAGAAGCATAGTGCACACATATTAAACTTGCTGTTTCATTAACGCAATAGCTTTGTTTTCTCGGACCGATCCACTTGGGCTGCAGACTTCGATCATTCTCGATCTCGTTTTCTTAAAGAACGCTGATGGTAAACAGTGTGATTGCACCACCGTCAAAGAGCGGCAGCACCTGGTTGCGAAGAAAGATAACGCCCCAGGTGAATGTGGTGAACCACAAATGCGTAAACTGATTGATCTGATACTTCCTGATCACGATGGGGTGCGGCACAGGCAGGAGACCAACCATCGTGGTGGTGCGCAAAAAGTATAGCATCGCATCTTCGTCTAGGCCGCCGCCAGCCTTCCGACACGCTTCCTCCAGCTGTGGGATAAGGTGCTGGAGCAGACGAAGGCTCGTAGTCAGAGGCAGTTTCTTCTTCCAGCCAGCAAGCCACTCGACCGTAGGAACAAACTCGCCATCCGTAGGCTTCTCCTGTTCCTTTCCTTCCTCGACGTGCTCGCCCTCCTTCTCAGCCGACTTCTTCCCTTCAGACGAGGCCCGTATGGGCGGAAGCCGCAGGTCACTGAGCTGATTGAAAACATTCTTGTTCTGTATCATAGCGTACACAACTTGCTGGTTGCCCTCGTACTGATACTGGATAATGTTGTCAAAAGTCTCGAGCAGGAAAAAGACCAAGTGGTGGTTGGCCTCGTTGTCGAAGAGGTATCTCGGCTGCGCAAAGAGCTTGAACAGACGCAGCAAACGCACAGCCGACACCATATTCAGCTTCTTACAGTACGGTGAGATGTTACAAATGATGGTGAGGAAGCAATTGTACACCGAGTTAAGCTTCTCGTAGCCGCTCACGATGATCTTGTGCAAACAAACAATTAGGAGATCCGCGTGATTGCCTGAAAACGGTGGCAGGTCCAGCGGCAGATGATTGCTAAAGGGTTTATTGAGGTTCACACCAAAATCTCGTTCACCACTCAACAGCAACATGATGAAGGTACAAATGTGGATCATGCCGACTTTAGCTGGCTCCTGTCTGCCTTCGTACATGAGGAAGAGTAACGGGACCACGAGCTGGTTCACATCTGCCTTCTTCAGTACATAGTGCAGGAACTCTGTGTTCTCATCAAGCATCTTCCATAGCAAAACAAGCAGCTCCTGATGACATTTAATCTGCTTGATCGAATTTGGCAGCAATGTGCTCAAAGATTGATGATAGTTGTTTAACAAACGTGAAAGTCCCGAAAAAATAAGCTGGAAATCTTCTGGTCGCTGTAGCGACGACAAAAGAGCACGATAAGCATTCGGCACACCGTCAAACACTGGGTTCGACATTTTCGACGACACTGAGGACGAGAGACGATTAATTGCCGGGGTAGCGCTCCCCGGTTGCGGTTTTAAAGTGGGCGTGATATTTTTTTCCTTCGTCTGTCCAAAGTCCAGTAGTACCAACAAAACTTGAAGTGACAAATCCACAAGTACTTCTCGGTCATCCGTGACAATGGATCCCGCATAAGGTACTCCCCAGCCCACTGGATCATATGAAACCACAATATTTAGTAGTGAATAAAACAACGTCGGTGCAAATGGACATTCCGGTGCTGTGGCAGCTTCAAGAAACCGATCTTTCCATTGGTTACAAGTCTCTGCTGTTTGGTACAAAATACTGGAAAAACATGTCAATAGTAAAGCCAAAACTTCTCGTCGATTCTTGTCATAAGTGGACGAATTGACAACATTCGCATCCGGATATCCAACTCCTGAATGCCAGAGTAAAGATGGAAACACCAATAATCCCTCATCACTTGTAGACTGTCCACTACGTGTAGCACTTCGTCTTTCTTCTCCATATCCTTTATATGCATGGATCGAGACTGTAAACTCGGGTAGAAAAAGTAATCCCATAATAGCATGAATCATTTGTTTTGCTAAAGGTTCCGTACGATGATTCTCCATTTTCTCATCGTCTTCTTCTTTTTTATCCGTTTTATCATCTTTTTCGTGTGTTTCAACACTCCAAAAAAGCGTTTCAACAAATGGATCCCCTCCTTCTTCAAGAACAAAAGGTACTAAACGTGTTAAAACACGGACACAATTCAATGCTTGATGATAATATTTGGGGACAGGAGTCTCCACAATTTGTACAATCTGTGACACCGCCTGTTTCAACATTGTTGCTAAATTAGAGGGTTGTTGATGACGTAACATTCGAACATCATCGGGTTGAATCAGTGTAAAAATTTCTTCCGCTACTGTTGGAATACGCCATAATTTATCCCAAAAGTCGAGGTTTTTACTACTAATGACTTCATTATTGAGCTTGTAGACACTCTCCCGAAACTTGCTCTTACTGTCGCTGTTACCCATAGTAAAACTAGTATTTAAAACAATGGGATCGACTCTAAAGGGAGGGGAGGGGGGTACAAAATATAGGGTACACTTTTTTTGACTTCCAGGGAGTCAGATATGCTAGTCTATTTGATAGGTACTTTTGTTATTTTATACGAAAAAGAGAGAGAGAGAATTGATTCCAAAAGTTGTTCCCCTGTATCCATTCTTAATGGTGTTAATCCATGAATTTCGTGTCCCGCTCCATATGTCAGTGGATGAGTTTCAAGTGGCTCAATTATATATGGTTGTAAATGCAAGTGAAAAACTCACAGGTGATGGAGAAGGGGTTGAGATTCTGGTGAATGAACCATATGACAATCGAGATGGTCATTTAGGCATCTCAAGTCTCTCTGGGTGGAATATCCCTCTTAATAAGGGACAATATACACGTAAACACTATTATTGCAAGTCTAAAATCCCTGGTTTTGTGTCAGCTTTGTAAGATTTTACAAATTTGTTGATATCATTAAGTAGGGGTTCTAAAATTTGGAATGTATGACATTATGTAGGTGTCCAGAAGATTCAATGGTTCTTATTGAAGAAGCATGGAATTCGTATCCTCACTGTGTCACTGTTATTGTGAACGGTTATCTGGCAAAGAACAAGTTTTACATTTCAATTGAGTCCATGCACAAGGCAGACACGGGTAATTCGGAGAATGCACTGGGTATGACCAAACAAGAACTCAGTCAACGCAAAGTCGAAATGTACGATAATCTCCTGACAGTAGTTTCTTGGGGTAGAGAGTTTATTTGTTGTAATGTTACTGTTGTGCAGATTGGACATTGCAGAGAAAATACCCAAGCAGACGTTAAAGGAAGACTGTGACCCGGCCACGGTTGGTGAAAAATGTCCGATGTCGGGTGGAAATTGAAGACTTTGTTAACGTGTTGGGTACTGCTTTATTTTGCAGTACAAGTCCATCAAAACTTCACGTGGCCCCTTAACACGAGGTTGGATGAACACGGTTGACCCGGTCATGACCTGCTACAAGGTGGTGCGCATCAATTTTGACTACTGGGGCGTGCAGGGCAAGGTATGGACGGGACTTTGACATACAAACGTGTGTTGTTACATTTACTGACTGTTTGTTTATTTGCTGATGATGGCACCTTCTGTGTGTTATTGTAGGCCGAAAAAGTCATTCGTGATCAGCAGCGGCAGCTTTTTCACAACACGTTGCGCCAGGCGCAATGCTTGACGGATGAGTGGTACGGTCTTTCTATGGAGGATATTCGACGTTTAGAGGCTGAAGTGGTCGCGAAACTCGAAGCCAAACGCTTGACCAACTCGGCCAAGAAGTAGAAGATGCGAGTTGGAATTGAGTCTAGCTGACAGCTATTATTTTGCTGGTTGCGATGGACTCGGTTTCTTCTTGCTCGCGTCCTACATTTATTTCCTGTAATTGAAGAAGCAGCGATGTCGTTGATTTACCTCGACTTGATCCAGCGACGGCGCCTACCGCGTAGAATGCGATTGCTCTGGTTGTTTCTTTTACTAGCCGCTTAACATGTATTTCAATGACCATTGTCTTCCTTCAGGTGTACCCTTCATTGTCGTGTGTGTGTTGTTAGTAACTATACCTGGATGTCCGCCAGGACGAAGAACTAGACCCTAGTCATGCCGCTACTTTTCTTCTTCAGGCTTCGCAGCTTCTATCACGCCTCCTCGAAGGGTTGCGGCCGCTTTTGTCTATCAGCTCATGTTGGGATTCCGTCGTCAAGCTTTTGACTTATATCAAGTTCTCCGCACTTGCAAAGGTGCTACAGCAAGAGATGCAAGTGAATGTATACGGGCAGAAGAAACTTGCATAGCGCATGGTTTTACTGGAGTCTTGTCCTGCAGTATCAATGACTTGATTTATTGATGCAACGAACTGGAAAAGGCAAAAAGTCTTTGAAGATTGCGCGATGAAAATCAGTGCTCGGACATGACCATGAAGCAAGTCTACGATAAAAGTTTCGATACAAGAACAAGAAACAAACCGCAATTCTTGCTGTCACTTTGTACCTGCTCTTTTTTACTCAAGGCAATACGTTCTGGATTACCCGGCAGAGTTTGATTACAAGAAAATCTTTCTGACTTGTGTAATCCTAACTTATCATGCCACAAGTGGCTACATTCTTTACTGGTGTTATTCTAAACTTTCGACGCTTTACTACCAAATAGTGTTAATGTGCAGATTTTCTATAAAAACTAGTAAGATTCGCTTTGTTATAGTATTATTGTACGTTCTACTGTACATTTCCTAGCACGGTTCTCAACGAGTACACGGGTCCATTATTGTCATTGTTGTAAACGCGTTTTCTCCAAGCGCGAGAAATGCTGCCATGGTACGACAAATGACGAGCAGTATCACCTACAGTATCTCATCGTCCCTCATCAAATCCAGCGAGCCTCGTCTCGCTAGTCCTTGTAATTCCTGCTGATCCAGCAGTGTGTCAGTCAATGGTGCTCAATTCTCTGCATCTGAGCTGCGTCGAGAAGTGTCCGTCCAATCATCTTTTTCTGGACTAGTACACGTACTCGCAAGCGAACCCGATGCCATTATTGAGGTTCCGAGTCAGGAAAGCTTAACCTCCAGAAATCGTCAGGTGTCTGGTACGGTTCGAACCTCGCACGATGACGTGAACACTTGTGTTTCTGCGCCGCCGCATCAACAGTCCCAATTTCTCCAAGTGCATCGTAGTATTTCTTGCACTCGATGCAATCATGACCCAAGAGAGCTTTTCTCTCCTCTTTATTCCGCACCACTTCAATGTACGCAAAAGATTTTGGTCGGTCTGACGTCTGGTCTACCTGAAGATTTACCTTGTCAGATGGTCCTATTGCTGCCAGTTCGAGATTCTGTTCCCACTTGGACTTCTTTAACATCTTTTGCTTTTCTTCTGCCCATGTAGAAGCCAAACCGCGGTTGCGTTTTTGAACAATTGGCTTGAAAATTGTCGTCTTCTTCTCGTCAATCTTTTCCTTAACTTGAAGTGGTATAAGAACTTCAACACTCGTCTCTAAATCTGATGTCTTTTTCTTCTTCACCCACGTCTGTTCCATTGAAAATGACTTGTTGCCAATTTCAGTCGTTTCAATTCTGGGTTTTTTACACGTTTTGGGTTTTATCAAAGGTGATTGATTTCTTTTCTTGTCAATTGTTGACACTTTTGCTGCTAAGGAGGGGGACTTGGCTCGAACAGCCCAGAGCGCACGCTGGTATCTATCCAGCAGTTTCTGCTGCTCCTTTAACGTTTGCTCTAGTAGCTTGAAACGTCTGGCGAGCGCCACAGCCTCCTGTTCTTGCCTCTGGATCGTCGCAAGCAGTGCCTTCTTCTCGTCCCGCCATTCCATACTCAAACAAAGTAAAACAGGACGCGCGCGATTTTGTCGTACTTATGACAGATCATACACGAACATCCCTACCCTCCATTCTTTATCCTATACCTAGCAGATAAATGTTACAATTAACCTGTATTTAACTGCACTATCACTCTTGCTCCGTATTATTAAGTTCCAGGATATCTCTGGCAGCCAAAAGCAACATCGGACAGAGACGAGGCCAGAAACTTTGATGGGAAATACTGAAAACGAGGTTCTACAAAACCAGACATCTTCATAGTGATACTTCTGTAGTTATACAGTACATAGACGGTCTCTATGACTTTCTGCTTAACGTTTAGGATTATAAACTACAACGTAACAACTGTATACAGTGTATACCCCTATCCAATCGATTTATCATCACTCCGGCTTTTTCTTCACCATCGACTAGCGACGACATGCGCTTTGACGGTCTGCGGACACGCAGCGTCAGTGCACGGCCCACGCCTGCGCCCGCGCCCGACGCACATCTGCATCGTGGTCACAGCGCCATGCCGCAACCTATCTCACGCAACAAGTCGCGACCGGGGCCGCCGCCGTCCGATGCGTCGGATGCGTCTTATACGGAACCACTGCTGCCTCCTATGGACGAGCTCTTTCCTCGGACCGACCTGGATCCACGCGTAAAGAAACGTCTCGTACGTGTAGCCAATGGGACGTCCAATGCATTAATCAAGGACACGCTGATGCAGGACAAGCGGGGTAGCGTCTTGTGGCGTCCGGCACAGCGACCGAGAGGCGCACCGGGTAATATTCACGTCTTACGTGGCACTGCAAGGGACGTGAGTGAAGCAAAAGATGCAACATGTGTCCGAGCAGTAAGCGATGATGTCCACGCGAGTATTGAAGAGTTTGCTCTGTTGTTTAAACTGGACTCGAGTCGAGAAGCAGCCGACCATTTGCTCTTGTTTAATGCAGACTTGATGCAACATTCGACGTTGTATACATTAGTATCACCTTCTGGACAACAGCCACGAAGATATGTGGGTGTCAAGTGGGCACTAGTGGCCTCGCCATCTAGGTTTTTCCGGAACAGAGACTTCTGCTACTTGGAGTGTCAGAAAGAGTTTACGGATGCAAGAGGAAGACGCGGATGGGTCAGATCGTTACATTCACTGAAGTTATCGTGCTGTCCGTCATTAGAGAAGGAGCACGGTATTGTGCGAGCGAGTATCTACAGGTCGGGACTGACGGCAGTGGAAACAGATGAGCCTGGAGTGCTTAGTGTGACTTATACGGTGGAGCTGGACCTGAAGGGGCGAATGGCGTTGGAACTATTGCAGCCTGGGTTTTTGGCACAGCGTGTGGCGGCGTTAGCGTCGGTGGACAAGCTGTTGCAGCAGCAGCGACTGAGTAGCAGCCCATTGCTGGGAGATTTAGATATTTCAACAAAGAAGCGCACGCGTGGTAGCTGCAACTTATGCTTCCGTCAATTTGTAGCATCTGGTGGACTAATGGATACGCTGGCGGCAATCACCAACATGTCGACCAAATCCACGCGGTATATATGCCGCAAGTGCGGCGAGGGTGTGTGTCGGCGATGCAGTGACGACTGGTGGCTGGATGTGCCAGTTGTAGGACGAACCAAGGTACGCATCTGCACAGTATGCTCCGCGGAGGCGAAACAGTCGCACATTTCGGCGCACACGACACGCGCGGGCACTTGCCCAATTAGGGTGGCTAATAATGAGCCTACAACGGAAGTGGAGGGTATTACCCATCCAAATTTGACGGACCCACAGCCAAAGCGTGATAGACGGCGTTCATTGTCATTGTTGGATCGTCCAAACGATGCCACATCATTCTTCGCGCAGCAGGAAGAAATTAAGCGTGACTTGGAGTTGCGGGCAACGGAGCTTAGTCGACGCGTCCAAATCTGGGATGAGATGCAGGTGTACAATCGTGACTCCAGCTTGCAACCCCACGATCAGCAACACGTACAAAAAAAGCTATTGCGTAAGCAACGTGAGCATGAAGTAGAGCAGCGCAATCGAAAGCTGGAGCAGCCTCTCAGCCGTGTTCCTTCTTTATGTTTGGGTGAGCAGGAAGAAGAGAAGGAAGAACCTGAGGCCGAAACAACGCCTCAAGACCAGCAAGACCGAAATGATTTGAAGAGCGAGAATGATAAATTAGATCGTCAACGGCGCCTTGACTTATACCCATCATTTATGTCATCAGGGGCCAGTAGTACTCAGGGGCATAGCGATACCGAGAGACAAGATGTTATCCGGCTCACAGCTGAGGCCGGTTCGCGACTGTCGTTGGATTATTGCGACAGCGATTTGTCAGACTACGAAGAGCACACTATTAATGACTTGGGTGAAATCCGCACTACCACGGACATTGGACGTTGGTGGCAAGAACGACAGCGTGCTAGTGTGGCTGGTGAGGAAGCAAAGCTTGGACTTGAAGAAACTATCTTACTCGTTCCATCGCCCAGGAAGGCTAAGCGAGGCATTAGTGTTGTCGATGAAGGAAAATTCAAAGTTTGCCAAACGCAGCAGCAGCCTGCACCGATGGCATCAGTAAAGAAGCAGGAGATGGTTGACTTGTTTAATCACTGGAAGCAAGAGTCTACAAACGAGATGCAGCACCACAGACACAACAACAACCCCATTCAGCGGCGGCAGTTGCAAGAGTTTGAAGAGCAGGTGCAATATCAGGAGGAGCAGGCACGTCGTCGTCAGCTGTCTGATTTTGAGGAGATGGCCCAGTATCAGGAGGAGCAGGCTCGTCGCCGACAAAAGTCTGCGGGATCTTCAGTTTGCCGACCTGAGTTCCAAAACAAGTGTCAGCCCGCTGAGTCAGCACTGCAGCAGATTCAGCAGCGCCAGAAGAAGCTGGAGTATCTTCTTCAGCAGACACGCGAGGACGACCTACCTGTGGCTAGGGCACAGAGCAGTGCCCAGCTTTCCATCGATGCACAGTCCTCTCTCGCCGTCAAGGAGCGGTACCTCCAGCAACAGAGGCAGCAGCAGCTTGATTTGGCTGCCGAAAAGCAGCTCTACCTTTACTCCAACGAAGCGCTCGACCAAAGTTCTGGAGACGACGTCGAATTGATGGAGAGTTCACAGGGCGAGTGGATTCCAATCGACGAGGCACGGGCCAATAAAGCAAAAGCAACGTCAAGGACATCTTTGGTGAGCTTACCCAGACACGGCCCGGGATTTTGCAGTGATTGCGGGTCTCCTGAATCTACGGGAGAAAAAGGTTTGGTGAAGCCAGGCTGCAAGTGCAGCGCTAGTGCAGTAACGTCGACCAAAGCTGCTGGCACTGTTCTATTTGACGGCAAATGGAATAGCGGTTCAATGCCTCAGGCAGCATCGTAGATCACGTGTATCGAGTCCACGTCATTACTGCATTAAGAAATCTCTCATTGCTGGAGGTAATACGGAAAAGTAAACTATTTGTTGTCTAGTGTGGAATCAAGAAAATTACATGTACGCCTGCCTGATGATTACTTCCAATTTGGGTTTACGAGCAACCTCGACCAAATGACGAAAGCCTCTAAAGAACCGGCATACCGGTCCTCTTACCTTTAGCGGGAAGTCTCCCATCATGGGGCCAAGGTTAAAAGAGGAAAGGCCTTCGCATCACTGTGTGCGCCACAGGAGACTGCGCAGTGTGCGAAAAATAACGGGAATCAATAGGCACAAAGTCCCGAGATGTGGGGCACGTCGACAAAGCAGCGAACAGGCATTCACAAGTTCCTACCCTTCTCCGTTTCGCCTTTTAGTCACCGGTCCGTTTGCCAAAGCGCGACTTCCGGTCCCACGATGCGAACATCTCTAGAACGTATCGGTCCGCTCCGATTTCCGAACCAAAGCTGCATGTCAGGGTTAAGTCAGGTTGGCCTGTCTGGGAATAATTTGATCCCCATCCTCATGTCCACCTGATAACAAAGGCGTCAACTCCAAGACCAAATCTTTTTTTCTAAAGAAAGTGCATGTCTATTGGCCTGTCAATGACCGCAAGCCGGTTCTTTCTCACGCAATGCCACGACCTGTGGCTACGATGACACGAAATGACACCTGATGTCGCTGTTGACGACAACATACGGAACAGAAATTTGGCTACTAAAGTCGATTTAACGACCGGCTACCCCTAAACACGCTCAACAGAGCCAGCCCTTTACATTAAATTACAATAGTGGCACATCAAACCTGCCCAAAGTGATAGGGTCACAGCATCTTCTACCCAGTTAGGGAAATATTACAATAGTCGGTTCATGTAAACGGGGTCGCCGAAATTTTTTAGCAGCGAGGAAGAAGGGTATCTCTTGAGGCGGTATCACTTTAGACACGTTTTTTTTTCTTACACTGCGCGTATAATACGATGCTTTATTCATCAGATATAGAGAAAACTGCTTAGTAGACAAATTTTGTGTAGAAATACGACTATGATAGTCATCTTCCTCAAATGCGCCCTGGCACGTGGATTATGTGTCAGTACAGATAAGGATGAGGTATTGAGGCGTTGGGACACTGTATCCAATATACAAGGATATGTTACTTTTTCTCTGCTCGGTTTCGTACATACAGTAATTACAAAATAAATTGGTAATAAACGAGACGACATTGAAAAAGACCCGACTTTGTGGCATCTCTTTCATGTCGAGTCCATCATAACGAAATAAGAAAGAGACATCCGAGGGTTATACTTTCAGTTGAATCAGCTTTGATTCAAACAGGGTTCAAAGCACTTTGAAATTCCTCACTTGTTGCCACGTGTCGTGCAAGAAGTTTGTATTTTTATTACATTGACATAATTTCTTTGCTATAAGCCCCTTGACTCGCTGCAACTCTGCACATCCCGTCCAACTGGCTCTCTCCTTTTCTTTCCGTGTATCTGTTATACCAGCTCCTGTACAACCTGGTGCGTCGTATATATACAATGTGATACCTCTTAATTGGCAACATTGATAGCTGATACATACGTACTGTTTTTTCCTCTATATAGTTTACAGGCTTATAAATGGCGAATCATCGTAATACCTCTGGCTATGATTTCATTCGTGGCTCGACGCAACCAAAGTCTCCGTCTGGACACAATTTGGACTCTTCGTTGGCCAATTCGACAAATTGTGCTAATTTGCGACATGGCTACAATAAAGTGTCAGATGGCTACATTCCAGGCCGATTACCATTACCTGATGATTTTTTTCCTGTCCCACAGCTGAGTACGAAGGAAAAAAAGTATTTACTTGGACTTGCTAAACGAGCATGCAAAGAGGTCGTTTATTATTCGAGAGAAAAGGATGGACCAATGAAATGGATTCAATTATCGTCCGATGATGGGGTCGATGTGTTTCAAGGTGTGGATAATTGTGGAACCAGTACTACTCAGGGTACAAAGGCACTTACGTACCTTCGAGGAACGTGCAAGATTCATGCAACGATTGACGAAATTTCCGACTTTTTCAAGCTCGACACACCCGCGAAATTATCTGGATACGCACAGACAGTTGGCAAGGATTTGCTGGATCAGAAGACATTGCTAACACTTGCTACACCGACACCGGAAAATCCAAAACATTTTGTGGCTATCAAGTGGTCGGCAGTTGAATCGCCGAGTAAAGTTACTCGAAACCGTGATTTTTGTTACATTGAATGTCATGATGAGTTTATTGACTCTAATACGAAGCGACGTGGATGGGTGAAGAGTATTCACTCCATTCGACTTCCATTTTGTCCACCACTTCATCGAAGTCATGGACTTGTACGTGGCAGTTTTTATCGTTCAGGATATATTTTCACCGAATCAGTGGAAAAAGGATGCGTGGATGCAGTGCATACGCTGCATGTGGATATTAAGGGCAATGCGCCCAATTGGCTCAAGATTTTGGTCATGAAACGTCGTATCAAGAATATTGCTGAAATCGATCGACACTTTCAGTTGCAGCGATTGACACAGGGAAAATTGCTGGGAGACTTGGAACTACCAAATAAGGAAAAAGTAACGCGGTGTCAGCTTTGTGAAACACGCTTTGGTTTTTTTCATCGTAGACGTCTATGTCGCAAGTGTGGCAAGGTAGTCTGTACTCCGTGTGGTAACAGTTTCTTGCTGGATTATGCCGGATTTGGACCGAAAAAGGTGCAGGTTTGTTTAAAGTGTTCAGAGTCCGTGGTGTATGGCACAAGTGTACCGATGATGGATGGTGCAGGCCACATTCTTCCGAACAACCCCGCATTCATGAAGTTCGAAAGCAGTGAAACTCGCCCTGCATACTACGATTCCCCGCCAGGTTCAATGATTATGCTTGAGATCACACATCGTTCCGTTGAAGAGAACGAGTATTACATGTATAATAAAGACGGGAATGGGATTGCTGACATGGAAGAGGCTAAACGAATGAATAAGGAGTTTGAGGAGACGCTAAAGAAGACCAGTGATAAAGTATTTGAACCAGCAGCTCATCAAGCGGGATTTCGAACCTCGCCAGAATCTTTTCGTAGTGGCATCAGTGTACCACGTGAAACGATGTTAGCTAGAAAGTCTTCGGGCGTGAATAACGAGTCACCTTTGTCGGAACAAAGGGGGGCTCAGAATGACGATAATGGATTGAGCTTGCCACCTAGCAATAGTGAGCAGGTGCTGCATGAAATGCATCATAAAGAGCAAATGCGCAGTAAGCAAATTCAGAAGCTGCACCAATACGCAACAGGCACGGGACCTAAGTCCTGCATAAATTATTCTGTAAAGCCAACAGAGTACAACGAGCTACAGCCTTCAAGGCCGCGAGCTTATGGAATCGCGCGAAATAAGTCGGAAGAACTCCTTCGACTTGGCTCAGAGTTGGGTCGGAAAGATTACGATGAGGATGCTATCGGTCGTGCAGGACCTGCTGCAACAACCAGCCTCCTCTCTGATGAATCTGGCTGCACGTCTAGGAGTGGAATAACAAGGCCAGATTTGGCGCGATCTCGATCCGGATCCCAAGGCGGTAGCAGGGATCGATATGGCAAAGGTGGCAGCCCCTGCCACCATGAGGACACTGCATCTCGTTACAAGAATAAAAGCAACCAGGAAGGACACGATAATGTGGAACTTCAAAGATGCAGTCAACAATACTTCGATGCCCGCAATGCTCCATTAGCGCTAGTAAGTGGAGGTCAGCAGCACCTCCATGGGCCGAAAACCAGTGATTGTGCTGAGCATTTGTTTGACAAAGGTCGCTCGATGGCAACAAGTTTCCTTAGCTTGAACGTTCCTGCCCCACGCCAATTGCTGGGGTCTGAACTTGAAGATTCTTACACATTGCTGAGCGATTCCAACCTCGATGGAGCCTTCACATCTCGTCAAACACATCAAAGCGACGATTTGGAGAATCAAGACGACGAAGCTTTTCGTTTGGCAATGTCAGCCATGCGATTATACGAAGAAGAACGCGGTCCCAACCTGCAAGTCACAGAAAAAACGCGACAGGTTGCACTGACCAAAATGATGAAAGTGTATGCGCGTGAAATTAAGCGCAGTCATAGCGACGATTCCGTGCCATATAGAGACACTATCTCTGACACTCGTCATCTGAATCATAACGTCGGGATTTTGCCACTGTTGCGACAAACAGTTTGTGATGATCGCATACCGTCATTTTATGGCTCGCCTTTGCCAGTATTCAGCCATGATGATATGATTCCTGCTCGCCGACGCCATCGACGCGCACCCTCTGCAAAACGCAGCCGAGGCGTATATCGCAGAAATTTTCGAAAGGATACGTACGCTCCGACGTTTATGACAAAGCAGAAGACAAGTGAGGACACATACGAGTACCGAGACCTGTCTGATCTCACTACAAGTGCTTTCCAAGCCTTCCATATTAATCCTCCAGGATCAAAACATGCTTCGAAGATGACGATTGATGCGATTGAGAGTTTCGAGGATACGGACAGCAGCAGAAATGGATATCGACAAGATGCGGATCATGTTCAGCCTTCTGTGCAAGTTCAGCGGAGCAGTGCCAGCAATACGCACGTGCAGTCTAAGTCTGACACGAATGGGGGTATTGTAGGTGCAGCTTGCGCTGTTGAAGACAGTATTGAGAGTCACGAGGGGTCCAAGATGGCGTGGCGTCAAAATTCCATGTACGGAGTGGCCGACTTGGACACCTTCAGTGATATGGATCTCGCTGACCTTCCGCACTTGATGCGCAAGGACGATGTTGATACTGCCGCACAAAGCTCGTTTGCAGACCTCCAAGACTGGACGGGGTGTGATGCACATGACACGTATAATGAAGGCGTTGAGTACGTTCCAGAGACTTGCTTGAGTGATTTGCTGTCGTCACTGCAGTTGGAGGGCATCCAACATGTGGATGATGACGATAGCGAAAGCCAATCTTCCGACGCTTCTTCTCATATTGACTGGCAAAGTTCACTGCAAAACAAGTATCCAGACGAGCAAGAAAGACATGAAAGGCACTCGGAGTCATCGTTTGTCCGTGCGTACTCTATTGCGCAAAAGATCGAAGTGGAATACCTGGCTGAGTCTGAGTCGTTTTCCGATCTCACCATGGAATTGTCAGAGAGTATGGTGACCCAAAACGATGAACAACCACAGCGTCATTATGGTAAGGCTCCTCCTATGTTGGAACTCTTGTCGGAGTACTGTGACAGCGAACATTCGTCTTTGCCGTCTCCTTTTAAGTTTGAGGAATCCCAGCTGGACCTGGAACCCGAATACCTGAAGGCCATTGAAAATGCAAACAACCAGCAACCTGTTCCGGTAGAAGGAGGAAGATGACATGTAACAGGTAACAATTAACAATTAACGCATCCCGTCGAGAGTTAAAAGTTATAACGTCGCGCCATGAGGTGTAAGCTATGACCATGTCATTATGTGACGTGTAATAAATACCCTTCAAGGACACTGCAACGTTATACCCTTTTTGAATACTTGTATACCCATTTTCATTCCGTCCTCATAAAAAAGCACCAAAACACACTTTCCCAAACCAAATAACCCAATATAACTCTCCATCCTCATCCCAAAATACCACTAGATTCCCCTCTACTGTACTTAACCAATCTCTAAACCAATGCCTGAAAATGGTGAACTTCATCCCGCTCAAGTGCTTAAAAGTGGTCATGATGTAGGTGCAAGTCATTACGCAGGTGGTGTACCACCTCATAAACGTATGCGAAAGCCTATTGTACGTAAGAGTGTCGATCCTAATTCTACTTTTGTCAACTACGTGACACAACGTCGCTTTGTATTGGCACGAAGTGTGCGTTCGCACGCGTTACCACCTCATTCATTTTACAAGAGGAAAATGATGCCCCCGTTGGTGTATCCTGGGGATGATGACTTGGCTTCCTGTGTATGCACGAAATTTTGTCGCTGCTCAACGAATAAACAGCGTTGTCCTGTCAATTGTCTGACGTGGACACCTGAAGGTCGTCGTCTTATTACGGGCAATTCTGTGGGTGAATTTACGCTCTGGAATGGTCTGGCTTTTAATTTTGAGACCATTTTACAGGCTCATGATGATGCCGTGAGAGCAATGGTGTGGTCTCATAATGACAATTGGCTGGTAACGGCCGATCATGGGGGGGTTATTAAGTATTGGCAATCCAGTATGACAAATGTTCAGCTATTACAAGGACATCGAGAAGCTGTACGGTCATTGAGTTTTTCACCAACGGATTTCAAATTTGTATCATGTTCGGATGATGCTACAGTAAAGATCTGGGACTTTGAAAGTGGTCGAGAAGAACGGGTACTGACGGGACATGGATGGGATGTTAAGTGTGTGGCGTATCATCCGCAGAAATGTCTACTTGCTAGTGCTAGTAAGGATAATCTGGTCAAGATTTGGGACCCCAAGTCTGGAAACAGCCTCAACACTTTGCATGGCCATAAAAACACGGTGTTTAAGGTAGCTTGGAACTCGAACGGTAACTGGCTGCTTACAGCCAGTCGCGACCAGCTCATTAAGATTTATGACATCCGAATGCTCAAGGAGTTTGCTACGCTGAAGGGCCATGCACGTGAAGTCACGTCCATTGCGTGGCATCCGTGGTATGAACGTCTGTTTGTCAGTGGTTCCTACGACGGATCACTTATGTACTGGGAAGTCGGGTACGCGTTATGTTTATTTTCATACACGCTGACTGTGCAGTGGGTTTTCTATGATGATGAGCTAATGCCTGAATTCTTTGTGTTTCACAGTAAGGATAGTGCGTTGGCTTCCATTCCCCAGGCACACGACACGGCTGTGTGGGATATCCAATGGCACCCTGTTGGTCATGTCGTTGCGACTGGAAGGTGCGTGATTTACATCAGGCGCTTATTGTTCTAGTTGACATTTAGCTCATGAGTATCTTTTGGCTGTCACTTTGATGGTGTTGCTTATAATACTACAGTAACGACCACAGCACGAAGTTCTGGTGTCGCAATCGACCAGGAGATCCGATGGACGACAAGTACAATGGCGGCCAGACCGTGTTGAATGAGCACGAGACTGGCGAGGGGATGATGCACATGCGCGGAAACCCAGACGGCATGGAAGTGCTACCAGGAATGGCGGATAGTGCTAGCAGCCTTCGCTCTAGCGCGATCAACGCAGCCAGCTTCCAGACATTTAACAAGAGTCCCATGGACAACCGTGGCAATGGTGGTAGTCGTCGGCCGCCTCCTGAGTCGTACACGTGCAACCGGTGTGGCACCAAAGGTCACTGGATTGAAGACTGCCCTACGAAGGACCAGCTTAATCTTAGTGGCCAGATACAGCGCAAGGTTCCGCCTGAAGGTTACTTGTGCAAGCGTTGTAACATTCCAGGACACTATATCTCGGACTGCACCGAGCCCAAGGTACCCCCTCTGTCGTATACTTGTCACAAATGTCGACAAAAAGGTCATTGGAAGCAGGACTGTCCGATGGATGGGAATGGTGCGATTAATGCATTGCTCAGCCAGATTCGTCCACAAGGTGTTCCAGTTAGTGCCGGTATTCCAATGAATACCAATGGGGCAGCTTCAGTTCCACCTCGAGGTTTTCCACCACGAGGAATGATGCCGCCGCCTCCACCACCTGCTACTGCAGGTTTATTGGTCCCACCACCTCCACCTCCACATATTCTTGCAGGTATGAAACGCGCTCGCGAGGATGATGTCGGTGGTGGAGCTGGGATAGTCCCACCACCTCTTAATGGTTGGCCACCAATGGGAAGCAATGGATCGAGTTTTCCACCTGGACCTTCTGGAGTAATCACACCATCTATTGAAGTAGTACCTGGACAGTCCGACCTTAAGAAACTGAACCGAGACCCAAGACGAAGGTAAAGTCGACTTGACGTCGGAAGATAAAATGACTCTTAAAGATACCAAGCCTTTCATTTTGTTCTAACATGGGTACCTGTCTATTTATATCTCCTCGTCATATCATTAATCGTTTTTAAATCATATTTACCAGGTTTTCTTTAGTCCCCTTTAAGTGGGCGGCTAGAATCGTTCAAAGACTCGAGAAACTAACAAGAATGCTGACCCTCGCTCGTCGTTCCGAAGCTATTTCCCGTATTTTAACTGTCCGTTATGCATCATCAGAGGTTCCCGTAACTTCTTCTTCATCTTTAGCTTCTGAACGTGGTAATATACAAGACTTACTAGCCGGTAATGCGACGGCCCGCAATGGCGTTGGTACGTACGAAAACAAAAATACACTATTTCCTCGTCTAGTGTAAGCTATAATATATCTTAGTAACTTTTGTTGGGGTGACGTATAGAATACGTCGTATCTCGTGTGGATGATTTGGTTAATTGGGGTCGTAAGAGCTCATTGTGGCCAATGACGTTTGGTTTGGCGTGTTGTGCCGTTGAAATGATGCACTCTGGTACGTACATTAACATGAAAGTAGATTGATATCTTTATATATAATTGAGTATAGCTGACAATGTCTCTTGTCTCTCTCTTTATGTAGCTGGTTCACGTTATGACTTTGAACGCATGGGTATGGTGTTCCGTGCCTCACCTCGTCAGACTGACGTGATGATTGTGGCTGGTACACTAACGAACAAAATGGCACCCGCCCTTCGTCGTGTCTATGATCAGATGCCTGAGCCGCGCTACGTCGTGTCTATGGGAAGCTGTGCCAATGGTGGGGGTTACTACCACTACTCGTACGCTGTCGTACGTGGCGTGGACCGCATTGTCCCCGTCGACATTTACGTGCCAGGTTGTCCGCCGACAGCTGAGGCATTGCTTTTTGGACTCATGCAGCTTCAAAAGAAGATCAAGGGCAACAAGTCGCTGTTACTTAAGTTGAGAAAGTAGACAATTGCTTGGATTGCTTGGCTTGCTAGCGGATGGAAGCGCTAGGGCGTTGACATACAGACTAATAAGCACTTGGAGTATCTGTATAAGGGTGAGAGAAGACACACACAAACATGAAACATTTGGATGGATAGCACCTATAATTTCAAGCCGAAGGAGAATGAATGCAGATTGTATGTATCTTTTTGCATGTTGATGGACTTTACAGAGTTCACCATGTGGACTCGCTTGACCCCTAGATGATGAGCAGATTGAGGCAAGTTTAGACAACAAAATCGATACGTGACCTCGTGACTCACTGCGTAGAATGCCATCGACATCGACGGAACTGAGCAATTGAACAGATTGAAGATTCAGCTGGTTAGGACAACATTGTCAACCATGACATCGAGACAATTGTTTCGATCCCAGCAGCACGATGTACCCACTCGCTCTTCTCATGTGACCGGCAGCCGAGATTCCGGCAATCTAGCGAGTTATCATTGGAATTTGAAGGACACCTTTGATGAACGCAGCTGTCCGAAACGACACGGTGCGAGTCGAAAAAGCACTGTACACCGACACGCCGGCTATTACAATTTTTCTTGTCTACGACTTAGAGTTCTTGGTATTGCTCGTTCATATGTTGTCGCGCCAAACGCCATCGGATTCGTGGCTAACACGGTCACCACCACCAAAATCGGTTTGACGATCGTCCATTCTCTTCTTGCCACGGTACAATCTACGAATTCTAAGTTGTGGAGCCATCGGTGCGCTGTTTCTTTAAAAGTCAGTTAGGATGTTGTACTCTAGTAATCTTAGGCGTCCACCCGAGCATAAAAAACAGCCTGTGGCCTGCGAAGCTGCAGCAATCTGCGGTAGTGTGTCCTCAAGCTGCTTCATAATCTTTCGACCTGTAAATGAGCTCCACTTGATTCGAGAAGGAGTATATACCTTGCCGCCGAGACGAAAGCGTGGTACCAAGCTGCAGACTGAGCTCGATGCTATTGACGAACTGGGCGGCATCGAGCTCGTGGAGCACATGTCTTCGTTCAAAGATGCATTTGTTGCAATCTCGCTTTATTGCAGTCTCTCTAGCGTCCAGCTATGCTAGATATAGAGATATATCTCTTGACACTCAAAGATATATATTACCTCGTTTAGCTCTTTCTGGCTACTGACGACTTGCCTTGCACTTTGCACTTTTCTGACTGAGCTTTCGAGCTTTCATGTATGCGGCTGCAGCTAACCTGCGAGCCGCCACCTTGTCACCAACGTTTGTCGACTCGTCCAGTTGTCGACTCGTCCCATTCTGATCTCCGCCGTTTCCCTTCTCCATTGTTTCCACGTTTCACCATCGGAATCGGTAAACGGACGTGAAATGTGTAAACGGACGTGAAATGTTCCAACGACTTCAACTTGGGAGGAACATATCACAACACGCCCCCTCCGACGCTTGTGTCGGAACATCTTTACTCTTGTGAAATCCTCATGCCAATGTCGGCTCGATACTTCGCTAGGCTGCGCTTCGGTAGAGCCTTTGTGAACATATCAGCAGGATTCTCTGTTCCGGACACTTTCTTTACCAAAATATGCCCAGCCTTAATTTGTTCGCGCACATAATGCCATCTTAGCTCAATGTGTCTTGTTTTGCTGCTATGTGTGGGTTTGCATGCCAACGAAATAGCTGCCGCATTGTCAATGCCCATCGTTAGTACAGCATGTGCCTGTATACAGTGTAAAATCTCATTGAGCATATTTGCAATTCCGCGACCCTCCATGGACGCTTCGCATGCTGCCACATATTCGGCTTCTGCGGTTGATTGTGCGACTATTGTTTGACGTCTGGCAGCCCATGCGACAGCTCCAGATTCCATCATAAGCACAAATCCGGTGACACTTTTTCTTGAGTCGGGATCGTTGCCCCAATCAGCATCACAATATCCAGTAATGACAACATCTTCGTTTGCTCCCATATCTCGTGTGTATCTTATGCCGGTTTGTAGTGTACCAGATAGGTATCGCAATACTCGCTTGACGGCTTCGCAGTGTTTTCGTGATGGGTTGCTCACAAAACGGCTCAAGTAGCCCACAGCATACGCAATATCTGGCCTTGTAGTAGTCGCCAAGTACATCAACGATCCAATAGTTCCTCGATAATCAAAATCAGTGTCTTCAGCTGGTTCAATGCACTTCCTGTATCTAGTGTTGGTCTCCATAGGAGTTGCACTACCGTGTGCTTCGCCAAAGCCAACTTTCTCGAGAACTTCCTTGCAATATTTCGTTTGGTGAATATACGTGTCCGTCTCATCTTGCTCGACATTGATGCCTAAAAAATAGTGCAGCTTTCCTCCATCTTTAAAACCATATTTCGCGTCGATGGCTTCAAAAAACGATGCCTTATATGCCTTAGAATCAGTCGCTAATACCACATCGTCGACGTATAACATGAGAAGAGCCAGTACTGCATGTTTGCAGTAGAAGTAAAGACAAGGCTCAGTCTCACTACGTTTGAACTCTTGAGTGACCAACCAGTTATCAATCTCTTCATTCCATTCGGCTCCTGACTGATGCAAGCCATAGAGCGCTCTGTCCACTCGATAGATGATTCCTGGGGGTTGAGGGAATCCTGGTATATTTCGGACATATTGCCTGATCTGTAAATTCGCATTCAAGTATGCTGTTTGTACATCTCCTTGATATAAAACCAGTCCGAATTTTGTGGCTAGTGCCACCAACACTCGAAAGGTAACAATCCGTGCGACAGGCGAAAATGATTCCACGTAGTCAATTCCTGGCTGCTGATGGTTTCCTAATCCTACAAGTCTAGGACGAAAACGAGTAATGAATTCTTGGTCATCAGTCTTCACTTGGAATCTCCACATTAATCCTAATTTGTTTGCCTTCGCCGGGGCTTCTGTTTCATCAATCGGAACCAATACTCCCTTAGAAAACATGGCGTTCACTTCGTTTTTCATACCATTATACCATTCGTCTTTTTGCGGCGTCTTCATCGCTTCAGTAAAGCTTTTGGGAATCTTGGTCTCATTTGCTCGCCATCTATGGTTCGCTGTAAGACTTTCGCTATTTTCATGGAGTGCAGCATTCACAAGGTACCCCTCAAGCCACGACGGGTATCGGCGCTCTGTTGACTGGCGTAAGACCATTTTCTGTGGCCTTCCTTTGTTATCGCGCCGTCGTTTTATCTCTTGGACATCCTCTAGCTCCGCATCCAAAACTTTCCTACGTTCTCCAGTAATTATTTCAGGAATCATACACGTATCCATCAGGTCATTGCTGGACTCACTCGTCGTCGCACCCTCGCGTGAATGTACTGTATCCTTGGATGTGGTAGGTAGTTCCGTATCTGCATGTACATTTTCATCCTCATCCTCGCTATTACTAGTGTCGGATGTCTCTGACCGATAGTCACAACTCACCTTGTCGCAATTTTCGGCAGCTGATTGACTGTCAACATCTGTTTCGGTATCATGGGTCGTTTCACTTTCCAAGCTAGAGGGCTTGCTTGTATTATGTTTTTGGATTGCATCATCACTGGCATTGGCACACATAGGGCTCTGATTGCTCAGATCGAGTGTATCCCGAGTTACAGGAATATCAATGTTGGTCTCCACTGAATCCACATCAACTAATTCAAACTTTGGTGATGACTCGATTGCTGATGACTCGCTCTCATAGTCAATCGGGATCGATTCACAATCCGACGCAATACTGTCATCATCCGACTCAATACTGTCGCCATTGCTGTCGACTTCCATGCTGTCTTCATCTGACGCAATACTTTCGTCATTGCTGTCGACTTCCATACTCGCTCCATTTTCATCATCCGTACTTGTACGTGACAACCAATCTGATACGGCGACAGCATATCCTTCGTGATATCGGTCACCGTATACTATATCCTCATTGACCGAAGCATCCAAAACGTGTTGAACCACTTGATCTGCTGGAAAATAAGCTTTAAATCCGGCTTGTCCTTCCAGGTACCCCAAAAGAAAACCAATTATCATCTAGTTTCTTCCGAGATGGGTTGTTCGCTTGATGGACATAAGCGAGAGATCCAAACTTCTTTATACCATGTAGGTTTGGCTTCTTGTTCATCATCATTCTGTATGGAGTCTCTTTGATTGACCGACAGTATGCCCTATTTCTCAGGTACGTAGCCATCTCAAGCGCATGCATCCAAAACGATTTTGGTAGCTTTGCGGACGCCATCATTTCCTTCATCATGTGAATTAGGGTTTGGTGTGCTCTCTCACACAGGTTCAAGTGTGATCCATGAGGTGGGTTTGGTAAGAACTCAATGCCAACATTCCTGTACCAACGGGTAATCTCCCCATTTACAAATTCCCCTCCGTCGTCAGATATCACTTGCTTGACCTTGTTTGCGGGAAATTGACGCTCTGCCCAGGAAATGTATCGTTTGATGGCTGTATTTACTTCCGATGCGTTCTTTGAGTAAAGTGGGTACACTGTAGTATACCGGGAGTATCCATCTACTACAACAAGTACCGCCTTATACGCTCTTGGGCTTGAGCTGTACTTCGGAAAAAGTAAATCGACAAATATCACTTGATTCTTCGTCGTTATATCACGCATCAAATGCTTATGACGTGTACGTTGTCGGTCTTTACCAATGTGGCATGCTTCGCAATCAATAAATTGTTTTGGGCTTAGTGACATTCCGTCTACTAGCTTGCGATCTACCATGAGCTTCACGTACTGTGGATTAAGATGGCCCAGCCTTTCGTGCCACCGTTGGATATCAGCGCGCCCTTGTGCGCGCGTATGATTTACCTGAGGACGGAAGCACTTATCTGTGATCAGCAGTTCACCCCTGTCACTCGTTTGTGATAGAAAATCATTGATGGCATTAAATGTGAAAAGACCACAGTCATCTCTTTTGATGTTCAGCAGCTTCCGATTATGCTGCCAAAGCTCGTAGAATCTTTCTACCTCTCGGATGCAATACTTCACAGTATGTCCTTGGTCCTCGACTTGTGTGTGAGAAATTAAATTCATACAGTCAGGAACGTATAATACGTCATAAAGTGTTATCATGTTGCTGCTTGATCCGTTTTGAACAAGTATCTGAACGGTTCCCTGACCAATCGGCTTTGTTTTAAAGTGCTTCTGAAATCCTCGGATACATTGAGCTTGTGCATTGTTATCAAATGCGCTATAATCAATAAAGTATCGTAAATCAGAAGCCACATGTACATTCGACGCATTGTCAAGACACCATTGTCGTTGTGTGCAGTTTCTGTCTGGAGTATTTTCCCTCGTTGACAGCTTGTTCTGTGCCATCACCATCAGTTCATCCGGCTTTTCTTGACATCCATCCGCAAGCTCATTCTTCGGATGCTGTGCAAATGCCACCTGACAATCACTCGTTTTTGGTTTCTTCATTATAGGACAGTCTCTCATGCGGTGTCCAGGCTTATGACAATTAAAGCAGTTTCCATGCTGCTTATCCGCCTGTGAAGTCGTGCTTTGGAGTACTTTGTCGGCAGCTATTAACTTTCTGGTTCCGATATGTGATCTTGCACAGCTAGCGTTTTGCCGGTTCTTGGATGTTTGACTGCCTCCATTGTCCTGCACATTTCCAATGACACCATGGGCACCAAGCTCCCGATCACACTTGTTAAAACTATCCATTCGCAAAATCTGATATTTCAATTTTTCCGAAGTGTCCACCTTGTCGTCCCCGCTTTCAACCATGCCTCTCAGACGATCAAAGCGCGCATTCGCCGGCAACGATCGAATTAACATCTGCGTAAAGATCGGGTCCCGAATACCTGCGTTCACAGCGACCAATTGATCTTTAATCATGAACATGTTTTACACGTGTTGCGCAACGTCCCAATTAGGTTTGCACTTCATCGCGTTTAACTTGTTGTAAAGAATAATTTCTTGGTTTGTTCTCGTTGCAGCATTAGTCTTTCCCTCGTAAAAGTCTTCCAAGTATTTCCACATCTCGGTGCCAGTTGCTTTCGTCATCACATGCTGCCCCAACTCCATTGATAGGGAAGCAAGAATAAGCTGCTTGATTGTTACTTGTGCCTCTCGAAACGCTTTCACTTCGTTTGCACT